CGACGTTTCGGACGCTTTCCAGCACCCATGGTCACGGGGGACTGGAAATGCTAAAAATAAACGCGATAAAATCCGTAAAAGTAGTTTTAATCATGTGCAATGTTCGCGTAAATATAAGAAATCTAATGCTAGAACTAAAACAAGTATAAATTAATTACAAGTGCAAAACAAATCAATAGTTCCTACGTAGTAATACAGGAGGGACAAAAAAGAATGTTTAATCTTTGCAGTAATCAAAAAATAATATTATTTTATTATAACCAGTGTAAAGCAACATATAGTACTTATCACTTCTTAACACGGGCAGTTCACTTCTCTCTCAAATGTTGCTCAGAGTGAGAAATTGTGTAATAAGAGAAGAGTGTGGTATGCAAGATGATGTTGTGACTAGGATTAAGAAAGGAATGTCGCGGTAGTTCGTTCATGCAGAAAGAATTAACGCGGAAAGATTGACAAAGCAAATGTTGCAGAAGTGAACGGGGGAATCGGAAAGGGTTGTCCTAGGCGAAAGTTTACTGACCAAATTGGCTATATATTGAAAATGGGCCAAATTATGAGTTCCCGTAACCGACAAGCTTGTACGCGTAGGTATATGGACGTGAAGGAGGCAAGAGAGATGTGTAGGATCATGCTAAATGGAATTCTGTTGTCTATGCCTACCCCATCTAAATGACAGGCGTGACTGTTTATGTTTTGTATGTTTATCTTGTCTTTATTATATTGATAAAAGTGTCTAAGTTCATGAGAGAATATTTTTGGCATTTTTTGGGGGATACCTACGGTCAGTAGTGGACTAAAGAAGGGCTGTGATTATGATGATGATGATGAAATGTCTATTAGTGACTTGATATATTAGATTTTGTATATTCACTTCGATTAAAAATTATTGTTTCTCTAACTATTAATAAATATTTCTTACGTGATAGAGCCACTCTGCAGCTATATTATGGTTGTTTAGCACGACCGGCGAAAGGCAGCGCTCTCACAGAATACCAGCGTAAAATAGTAGCTCAGTGTTAACTATGTATATCTCATAAGACGAATTTAGAGAACCTGAGACTCTTTTTACTGGAAACGAGGCATTCCATCGTAGTCTTCAGGCGTGGCAACGCATCTGCATTTTGATTCTTAATCGAGGATTGAAGTAGATGTCTATAGGTCACAGCATCAACTTACCGTCAGGTGTGCTAGTTTAGACTGTGTGCTAGTTTGTCACGCTTATTCTATAAAAAAAAACACATTTATTAAAGCTATTTGCTAATCCAACATGACCGTATGGAAGTAATGAAATTTCTTAGTACTATTACAATTCTTGGAACATCTATATTAGGTCCTCTTAATTATTGTAAGGCTGCCCATTCATTATTTAAACACATTGTGTCAAATTAACTATTAACCGCGAAGTGGCAGTGTAATAATATCCACTACCCCATATCATCCCGTAGATGTCGTAAGAGACAGATAGAGTCGGAAAACTGCGACAGGAGGGAGATGGGCAGCATCATTCTAATAACATCTCAAGATTTTAGAAAACTGCGATTGTCATCCCGGCAGCCAGCGGCAGCTATGGCAAAATCTTTCCTATGAGGAAATCACATGTATGGGTGGATTAAATTTACTATGAAGTAATGATTCCAAGGACAGAAAAGCTTCCCAAATGGCAGCCTCGGAACCGCGAGCAACTTTAAGGTAACATCAGACGCAGTCAGCAAAGGTTAGCCATAAACTTATTCTAAGTCTATGGTCATAAGGCTGTAATGAATGAAAAATAGATATGTTGAAAGAAACATAAAAATTGATTCTAAACAAAGTTAGACAGCTAGTTTAACATTAGACTTTAGAGTAATTACCTACATACATATGTTTGAATAAAGAAAACCTACAATTCCACATAAATAAAGTCAAAATACTTGTCTCGCTTTGTCTAATTACTAAATAAAAAAACGAGTGTGCTTATGACCACACGGCTAAAGTAAAACTTCTTCAGCTGCATCTGTATGTATATATATACATGTTATATACATATACATATATTAATTTTCTACAAATATTTAAATTTATTTCCGGCTACCTTCCATAATTTGTTATCACCCGAAAACTTTAAAATGAATTTACAATTTTATTCACTTTAAACGTAGAATATTTAATGTAAGTATTTCACAAAATAATAATTCATAAAATTGTTCATAATGAAATTTTGCTTAGATACACAGAACGTAACTGGCTATGAAAGAAAGAGAGAGAGAAAATGTGCGCATGCACAGCTCTCTCTTGCGTATATCACCAACTCAACCGCCGTTCGCCTCGCCCGATCACACTTTTCGTAACGCTTTCGTTACGCTTTCGCCAGCTTACTCCCCAAGTTAAGCGTGCGTAAAGAAATTTTACTTCAACAAAATGTATTTCTTTTTTTTGCGTAGTATCACATGCCGGTTATCCACTAGTATAGAATAAGGGTCACAAACGAGCACACAGTCCACCTGATAGTAAGTGGATACTGTGGCCCATAAACCCCTACATTTACCAATAAAACAACTAATTAACTAATAATTACTAACAAAATATAGTGCTTATAAGCCCAATTGCGCTACACAGCTATAATCCCTAGATAGGGAGCAAGGAAGGTCTTGCGCATCCTCCGCCCTGCCGCAGGGCCTTCTTAGAATATTGCCCCTGCTTGCATACACGCATCACAATTAAGGAGGCAATTCTGGGTCATGCCCACTTTTACACCCTAGATTGCACTGCGGCAGGCAAATGAGTAGCAGCATTTACTAGTATGTATCTATAGTCAATTGGTTTCCGCCGTCCTGACAAGTGAACTTGTGTAAAGATTCAGTTATCATAAATTATATACCGTATGTGATGAAAATTGTATTTCGCTCGATAAAGTAAAGGTTTAATTAAGTAATCAAGAGTTTGACATTACGAACCATATAGTAGTATAGTGCATGCGAGGTAAATACCTGCTTTGAACAAGTGACCAACAAGCAAGCAGTCTACTTGATGGTAAGTGGACACTGTAACCCATATAAACCTACATCTATCATTGATTAGGAATCAAAACGATCCGTTACGAAAGATCTATTGTACCAAAAAGCAAAAAAGAACCAAAATTTTTTTTTGTTATTAAAAAAAAGTATTATTTTTAAAAAAAAAAGAAAAAAGAAAGCCGTTGTCACCCTTGACGACTAAGGCGAAATGTCTCCTTACCAGTGAGAAGATTCCCCGGTTCTCGTAGCATTTTTACTTTGGTATTCTTTACGAGCGTGGTCCTTCCTCGGTCGAGAAGACCCATTAGTGCTATCGTAATCAGTGCAAGATGGATATGCAACATTTAAATCATTGATCCATTTTTTACTCGCGGTAGAGTCACGCTGCAGCTATATTATGGTTGGCTCTCACAGAATACCAGCGTAAAATAGCAGCTTAATACTGTTGTGTTTCATATGGTGAGTGTAGAGATCCGGAGACCCTTTTTTAACTGGAAACGAGGCATTCTATCTTAGTTCTCAGTGTTGACAACGCATCTGCGTTTTGATTCTTAATCGAGGATAAATGTAGATGTCAATGGACCACGGAATCCACTTACCATCAGGTGGAATGTGCTTGCACCAACCTGTGCTGGCAACCCTTATTCTATAAAAAAAATGTATAATTAACTTATTGTGGTTTAACATTCATGTAGCTTGCCGCTTGTCGACTATTTTTAAAAAGTAATAAAATTGTTGCAGTCGGCACGTAACTAATAGGACGTAAAATATCTACACATAAAAAGACAACAGTATATTCTATATAATAAAAATATAGTAAAATTGGCAACCCTACGATGATTTGCGGCATAAAATTAGTTACAGCGCAAAATAAGCAATGAAAGTTCTTAAGCCCTTGGAACTGTTCACGAATGGTCGTCATAAAATTTTCTCAATCTCTCTCAACCTTGCATTAGGATTAAGCGTTTGAGTGAAAGAGACGGACTTCAGCAACAATGTTAGCAAATAGCCCATGTCAATACCGGAATAAGAAACGGCAATATGGTGTATTTTATAACACGACTGAATTAGTTGTTGTTTTGCAAATATCGTTTGAAAATGTAAAACTTATCGCAAGTGATGCATTCAGTGAGTGAGTATATTTTTGTATTAATCTGTGAAATTATTTATAGAACAGTAACCAAAATAAAAACAGAATATAACGTGCTTTATTTGTGTTACTTTAGTAATACCTCTCAATTACAAATGCTAAATTTGTGGACGAGGAAGTTGAACCCGGATATTTTATCAATGTGTCAACAGCTATCCATATTTGATGAAATGTGTAAGCAATACAACCCTAGGAAGATTCCAAGGCATTAACAGATAAAGGATATCTAGACACACGACACGACGGTGTGTCAGTGTAGGAGAAGTCCGGGCAAAGCGAATACCTTAAGATATTTAAGGATTTATCAGAAAATTTATAAGAGATGGAAACAAAACAAATATCTCAAATCAGTCTTTATTAATTGCTTTTACATATATAGTAATCATTTAACTTTAAAAGTAAAACAACTACTAACAAAAAGTAAAATTCAAAAAATTGAGATAGTATTCACTTCGCCCGTACCCCCGGGTAAAGTGGATATGGTGCACGGGCAAAGTGAATAACTACCTTCTAATTACACAAAACTCAAAGTTACACCTAGTTAGGGAATTTAATAGACGGAAAAAACTTAATTCGCGTTTAAAGGACAAATCTTAAAAATTAAGACTGGCAATTATTACATGTAAAATCTCCCTTCAAAAATCTGCCTTCAAAAGCGGAACATTCTTCATCTGAAACAGGCACCACATCGAACCCAATTTTCAATTGGATGATTATTTTCTTCAATATATATTTTATCGCAAAAAAACATACAATATCTTCAAATTTCTTAATTTTCTTTGATTGTTTATTATTTTTAACAGGTTTTTTAGTAATCTTTATGGGAACTTTTTTTGATTCTACATTTAGTTTTTTACTTATATTATTAACTGCATTTTTTTTTCAAATTTTAACTTCTGCTCTTCTTTTATAGGTGTACTAGTTAAAATTTCCGACTTTTGCAATTTGCGTTTACGAGTTGTTATTCGTTTGTCTGGATTTGGTATTGGTCTTAACACTACGAGACTATAGTGAAAGTTTGAACATCCAGGTTCCAGATTTGGTGGGTCATCACGGTCCACATATCTGCGTGTATTTTTTGAGGTACCTGGTAACAATGCATCACTTTTTAAAAGATGCATAACATTAATATTTGTAGCATCTGGCTCCAAAGTAGAAGAAGCTTTAAGAGATACTGTTTCTGGTTCCAGTGTAATAATGGAGCATACTTCACTGTGAATAATATTTTCTGAGGTTTTAGTAGATTCTTGGAAAACTACAATTGGTGCAACAGAGACTTGAGGTTGAGGTTTAGATAATTCACAAATTGTAGCTTTTCCTGGAGCTAGAACTATTTCTGCATGGGGATCAACTGTCGAATTGCATTCTTATAAAAGTGAGGGTGAAGGGGTTGAAGAGGCAGCGGAATTAGGGATGTCTATTGTTTGTATCGAATCTATGCCTACTGTGCTGACATTCATACTTGATTTGCCTGCAATCGCATCCGCTGGTTCAAAGTCTTCATCAAAGCATAGTTATTCATTGGCCAAATTACAGGTCGTTTAAAGCCATGAACTGCATTTATGGCGACTGCACTTTTCAGAAAAGCTGGTGATAACAGTCTGGTTACATCGTACTGATTTACAATGCGTCCAGGATGAGCCTTTTGGAATGTATTAATCTCTCGTTCAAAATACGTTTTCAGTGGGCCGTAGAAGGCCACATCCATAGGTTGCATTTTATGAGTAGTATGCGGGGCCAAGGATAAAATTATGACGCTATTCTTACTTGCATATTCCAAAGCAGGATAATATTTGTGGCTTTCATGGTTGTCCACGAGTAGAAGTACCTTTTTGTCGGCGCTAGGTCGTACATGTTCTACGAAGAAATGCATCCAATCAAGAAATACGTCACCTGAAGTCCAACCAATTGGCGTACAAGTACCTTGAGTCCCGGGAGGTGCACCGTCAAGAAGTCTGGGTTGCATCTTCTTTCTGGCGAAAATCAGGAAGGGTGGTATTTATCCAGCGGTAGAAATTACAACACCCGATGACAGTCGTTAATTGACCTCGCTCCGCACTTGCAATTATGCCCACCTGTTTCTTTCCTTTTATTGATAGTACTCTAGGGGGTTTGTTTGATGTCGTTGAAATACCGGTTTCGTCCATATTAAAATCTAGATGCATCAATATTGTGTGTATCAATCAAAGATTCAAGATTTTCGTAGAAACGTCTGACTTCATGTCTTTGGAATCCTTTTGCTCTCGCAACCGATGTTGCCTCTGCAGTCCTGAGCGTGATGTCAGTGTGACGTGATAAATATGATTGTAGCCAATCATCTCCGGCTTTTTCATACTTCTCACAACTTTTTGGGTAACTCAAATTATTTTTTTTGCATAGGTATACGCTAAATTCTTAAACTCATCTCGAGTTAAACCAAAAAACACGGAATCCATGTCTTTGAGATAGGTCATTAATTCTATCTCCTCATATTCACTGAACACAGGACGAAATCTGCCGAGTTTTTGAGTAACCTTGCCACTTTTGATGTGTCTGTACAAAGTTGCATAAGCCAACCCATACTTTTTAGCTGTGCCCTTCACCGATTCTCCGGCATGGCATAAATTTACAGCCATCTGCATGACATCTTTATCCCAAGAGCCTTGATTAGTTTTTCTTTTGTATTTATGCACCATCTGCAACGAAATTTTTAATAAAATTAGCATTATAATACTGAAACTAAAAATCATAACAGCTGGGCAAAGTGGATATCATATCCGCTTTGCCCTCGCCACCCACTTTTAAGGTTAAGTTAGTTAATATAAAAACTATTGATTTCGATTCCCTGTTCGACATATTTTAAAAAGGCACTTTGATACGTAATAGAACTATACTACGCCCAAGAACTATAAACAAATAATATATGAAATATCATCAAAACACTTACCTCGAATTATTGTAAATTATTTTTCGAAAACACAATTCGCCGTTCTGTGGACGCCACACCACACTAGCTCTCGCCTCTCGCTTAAGTATTTGCCGCTCACTGAGACAAGATGGCGGAACGATGCTATGGCCGCGTGGTTAATGCCAAACGAATAGTTTGGTAATAGTGGGGACTATTCACTTTGCCCGGGGTGTTCACTTTGCCCGGACTTCCCCTACAATAACTATTTCAAGTTATTTTCGAATCCCGTAACCCAAAAACTTTAACACCTCTACACTTGTTTTTTTTAATTTCGTTCAGGGCTCTTTCTGAATATCTATATAATCCCAATTTAATTAATAAAATAAATGTGCCTTTTCTATCACTCGCTTGATCACTGACTCGCTCTTTAAAAACCTAGACCACTTCTAGCTAACTTAGAAATTCGAAATTCGTCATCAAGGTTTATTATAATGTCGCCTCTACACGTTGGCCAACACAGTGGCGAATGTAGTGGCGAATATATTGGCCGAGAGTTGGTGACGGCGTCCACACGTTGGAAGGTCGTTCAGTTTACTTCGGTTCGGGCCAATGTGCGGACGAATTTATTTTATTTTAGACGACGGCTCCGTGGCGCAGTGGCTTTGCAATGAGTGGCTGTCCCAGGGGCCGCGGGTTTGAATCCCGCACGGAACAAGTATTTGTATATCCTACAAATAATTGTTTCGGGTCTGGATGTGTGTCCTTGTGCAATTTATGTTTGTAAGTTGCCTCCGCGATACAGGAGAAAATCCAAGTGTGGGGGGTAACGTTTTTATAAAATAATTATAAAAGAATAGTGAATATTAATGGGGCTGTAAATAGATATACGATATACGATTAGCTTTATTTATTCTTTACATGCATCAGAAACTGGAATAAATACCATTAATTAGATCTTAACTTATTTTAAAGTTAAAGGAGTTATAATCGATTAGTCTATGTTTTAAAATTGGGTTTTGTTTTTAAAGTTTAGCAAAACATGTACTTGCTTTTCTATCAGACATTTGATGTAAGGATAGGGTGACAAACGAGCACACAGTTCACCTGATGGTAAGTGGTTGCTGTGGCCCACAGACATCTACATCTATCCTCGATTACGAATCAAAATGCAGATGCGTTGTCACCCGTGAGGACTAAGATGAAATGCCTAGTTTCCTTTAAAAAGTGTCTCTGGTTCTCTACTCACTATACGAAATACAGCATCATTAAGCTACTATTTTAATTGATATTCTGTGAGAGCGTGGTCCTTCCCCGGTCGAACCGACCCATTCGTGTTACAACTATACTTCTAATATAACTGCATAGTTCTACCACGTATAAACGACGTGCTTCATTTTTTTTTCATTTTAAAATTGTTCTCGTAATAATCTGGTTGTAAATAAATGTTCATTATTTTTTTTTATAAATAGCTTATCGATTAAAACAAATGTTTAAAAATAATTAAATCGCGCTAATTAAAGTAGTAGGAATGTTTAAAGTTGAAATTGGCACTAAAAGACTGGTAATTGGGTCATCCATCCTACAAAGCGTGAATATAAAATTTTAATCAGATGCGTGTAATCACTCTGGGAGCTTATAGCAAACTAAACTCGCGGCCAACGTGTGGACGCGGCGACCAAACTCTGCCAACAATCCTTTGATCTTTTGTAAAAAACCGACACCACACGGATCTCGCGCCAACTTGCGGGCCATCGTTCCAATACATACCAATGAAGCCCAAACACCCCGTCTACACGTTGGCCAATGCTATTGGCCACTACATTCGCCACTGTGTTGGCCAACGTGTAGAGGCGACATTATATCATCTACAACATTTGAAAACTTCAAACTAACGATGTTCGACACGACAAAATTATTGTTGCAGTTAATTTCAAACGCTGAAGGTCTATTATATTATTTAATGATTATTTAAGATTTATGAAAGGATAAAACTTTTCAAAAATCAATGATATACCACAATAAACATACATGGAAAATAAAGGGGCCAAATCAATTCAAGATACTATCCGGATTGTCAGATTTGCTGATAAAAGAGTTTGGATCTCAACGGGTGCCAAGTTCTATAGCACTGACTAAAGGAATGTATTCACTTGGCATAAAACAAAATTCATGACGTTGTTTGATTATTATTGAACAACATAGGTATATTGACAAGTTTAATATTTATCTTATTAAATTGTAGTATAAAATAGATTAACTAAAAAACATAACGTTTAAGCTCCTATTCAATACTAATAAAACATGCCAGCTAATAAATTAAATCTCAAGGAACATAAAAAAATATTTTAAATAGAAATGGGCCGAATATTTGTTTCATATTTGGTATTCGGCATATTTTACGGGTTTACCGAATATTCGGCTAAATCACCGAACATTCGTTAAAGTGGTACCTAAAGTGTCGACTGTATTGAAATGTACGAATTTTGTAATGCCATATCTTTCATAATTTTACTGTTGAAAGTATATTTTATTTATGGGTCAAATCTATTTGTAGGTATAGCGTTATGTTTTTGAGGCACTGTAGATTTATTTCCAATTATAGCATATAGAAAGCTTGTTAAAACGTTCTTGGAATCAAATAAAGAAACATTACATTACAGAAGTACATTTCACTTTACGTTAGTAGTAAGTTTCTCTATAATAAGTCCAAATAGTAGATCTCCTGCCGCTCATTTTTATCATATAATTATCAATTTTCACTAAGAATAACACAACGAAATACTTTTTCTCGCTAAATTTTGACTATTTTAACAAGCACATGCCGGCAATTTGCTCAGTATTAGATGATGCAATAACATGTCAGATGTGGGGGGGGGGGAGTGACGGGCAGAGTCCGGCGCTAATCCCGCGCGCTTTACGGTAACAAGTTTCGACATAAATTGGTTAGGTACCGAGGTGATCCTGCCGAATGATGTTCGGCCGAATATAAGGTTCGTTAAAAGTTTTACCGAACGTTCGGCCGAATGTTCGTATTCGGTAAAATCCATATTCGGCCCATCTCTATATTTAAATCAACCAAAGGACATTGTACATTCTTAAAGTTCTATGATTAGGGAACTGCTATAGAACTTGTTACCTATTCAGATCTTAACTTTTATCGGCGAAGCCGTCAACGCCGAACGCCTTTTGTTGGCTCTTTTTTTCTCATTTATATGTTTATGATGGAATCATGATACACACGTATAGTCTTTTCACTAAGATGCAAGTAGTGTCGGTACATCCGGAGCCATAGTTATTATTTTGCTTTTATTTTATTATTTTTAATGTGTTTGTTAAATAAATATTTTTCTATTCTAAATTTTCTTCTGTTCTAAATTAATAATGTAATAAAATACGAATATGAATAATAAATACAAGTTTGGTAACTAAGATCCTTTCACTAAAGCACTTCGTTTTAAAATGCTAAATTTTCCTGCGGGTGTACGTCACACGCCGTTACCTTTGAGGTCGCGGCAGCGCCTTTGATAAGATGCGGCACGTGCTAAGGCGGCTTGTCATAATAGCGACCGTATTTAAGCGAACAGACTGTACCACAGATTAGTAAATAGTTTACCAAACCATACCCAAAAGTTAAGAGAGTTTGCCCGACATTTCAGCAAGATCAGCTTTTTATAAGTGAATACAAAATCACTAAAACATGTAACAGTTTACATAATGGTTTGTTATATTATCGCAGACACTTTACATTTAATTAACTACAACAACTATTACTAACAGTTATTTAACGGAATGCTTATTTTTATATTACCGACGTTTCGATGAATTTGCACGTCACGTGATGGGGAGTCAGAGTGAGGAGGAGACTTAGCTGATTAACTACATCCTAAAGTCACATCCACGGTCATCTTCAGTAAGCATCTTATTTGCGTTCATTATTTATCAAAATTTATATTCATCTATATACACCGTGAAAAAATCCAATTTTATAGTACTGTGCTTTAAGAAATTGTAAAAACTTATTCCAATTCTTTAAAAGTATAACGCGCTATTAATGAATAATTTGCAATTAAAATCTATTA